GAAATGTTCACACAGTGAAAAGGACAGCTGGTGCTTTCAAATAGTGCAAAAATACACCACAAAAAAAAAAGAGGAAATCTATCAGACCGTCCACAATTCCAAGATATTTGGGAAATTTGACAAATTTCAAATTTTATGTTTAGGTAGAATAACATCTTCACAGAAATTAAAGGGGCATTACAGTGAAGTATCAACATTTCTGAATAATTAAGTGTTTAAGATGTAAATAATGTCATTCAGAGAGGTTTGGTGTGAAATACTTCTACGTTCTAGAGAAACAAATCAGAACTGTTCACAGTGGTGGTGATAGGAGCCCGAAGTTCACCTGTAAAACCTCCCTTATGGAAACTTATTACATGAAATGTTTTATGAATACGATGTGTGATGTCTGAAACATTATATTTTTAATCTAAAACTTACGTTTCTAAGGATATGTGAAAGCACACAGGACATTTTCAGCAAAATAGCAGCAAAAGAAAACTATTTTTTCAGATTTACCACTATTTTACTATATTTTACTGATGTTCTTGTGTTTTATCTTTTTATTTCCTTGCTTGTGACTCTTTTCAATCCCTTGTTCTTTGTTTTAATGCTCAGCTACACTGTAAATGAGGGTCAGCCTCAATGGACTCCAACTTTAAATAAAGGACCACTGATTGATTGGTTGAAGGACTGATTAGTTTATTGATTGGTTGATTGATTTGTTGACACAGGGTGTTGTAAGGCAAAATAGTACCCCAAAACCTATTTTGCCATCATCAGTAATCCATATATAAACTCAGAAAACACATGCAGGTTCACTGGTGGTAAACAAAATGACTGTATTTGTGTTGTAGACATGGGAACCCCTGGTTCCTATCACCTCCACTGTAAAGAAAAGAGTGTCTACAAGTAACTATTTCACATTGAACCACTCTGAATGACTTTGTTTACACATCAACCATTGTATTGTTACAGAAATTTTCAAAAAACGATGGAATTCTCCTTTAAAATGAACTAAAACTATACAAAAGCATACAATTACATGTACAATTACAGCACAATACATGCCGGTACACAGAGGGGGTTTTAGTTACATTAATTCAGGCCAATGTACTTGTAATAGATTTGTAAATTTCTGAATATTTCCAGAAGTTTCACACTTTCACTTTACTTACATTTAGTTCCTAATTCCTTTTAATGATGTTAATATCATTCTGTTCTGCTTTACTGTCATATCTCTCACTATGGGCCTTTATTGTTTTATTTCAGACCAAAACAATCCAAAAAGAGAAGAACACATCAGTTCAGCTCTGTTGCAGCCCTATGATGAGTTCAGCCCTTTTTGGACCTCATGCTTTTTAACTCAAATTAGTTTTTATGGCTATTTTCCCCTGGAATCCTGATCTGACTGCAGTAAGAAGACTTTCAATGTAGGTTAGGGGCTGCTCCACCCCCCTCTGCTCTGTGCAGGTAGGTGAATTATAACTTTGCCTTAAATGGCACAGTTCCTTGCACAGAGCCCACATGCACACAGATGCCCCCACATATAGCAGGCCCTGTCCATGTGTTTCCCTTTTCCTGTCTCAGCTGTGATAGGGGCAGCATTGTCTCGCAGGAGGAAGTGGCTCAGAGTCGGTTGCTCTGTAGTTCCTCTTTGGCTCACGTTAATACACACACATTTCTTCCTCAGTGCGCACATTTCTCTCGCCTCCGTACACAGGGAGCCAGCCACTACTGCGGCCCACAGCATCGGGTAAGTGCTTTCGGTGGGGCGAAGCAAGAGGACGTTTCGGGGTTAAAGCGTCTGACCAGAGTAAAAGTGAGGAAAAGCATTATATCAGAGCTTCACTGTACTTTTATTGTCAACAATCTGAAACGGGGAGCACATTCACGCCAGGTGGGGGAGAAACAAGTCGCCTATGTTTTATTTCTCCTTCTCTGTTTCTAGCAGTGGTACACCAAAATTAGACACAGTATCTCAGAAAGACTTACTGTCTCAAAATAATGACTTACTATCTCAAAACAATGCTATTTCTTCAAATTTAATAAGTCATTATTTAGAAACTGCACGGAATTTTTTAGAAGTCATTGTTTTAAGATGGTACATCCAGTGCCAAAAAACAGAAGAGGAGAAAATGACTTATTTTCTCAAAATTGTGACTTAATATCTCAAAAGCTATGCCTTTTCTTGAAACGTAATCAGTTATTATTTTGACAAAGCAAGTAAATATTTTTAGAAGTCAGCGTTTTAAGATGCTACATCCAGTGCCGGAATCAGAAGAGGAGAAAATGACCTATTTTCTGGGGAAAATGACCTATTTTCTCAAAATAATGACTTAATATCTCCAAACAATGACAGTTAAACGTGAAATGTAATAAGTTATGTCATAAACTACATCATTGTTTTGAGAAAACGAGTCATTATATTGAGATACTACAACAATGTTTTGAGAAACTGTCATTTTGTGATATTAAGTCACTATTCTGAGAAAATGTCACATTTTAAGCAATGTTTCCCAATCCTGGTCCTAGAGGCACATTTCAGTGCTTCCCCTGCCTTGACACACCCACTTAAACTCACTAAGGCCTTGTTTAGTTGGATTGGGCGTGTTGGGAGCAGGGAAAGCTCTAAAAGGTGCAGAGCAGTGTGCGTCCAGGACCAGGGCTGAGAAACACTGTATTAGAACATGTGCAATTTAATAATATTTTGTATAACTGTCAAATGAGATAATAAATCTATCTATCTAACACTTTCTGTTGATGATGAAGTGTGGGTGTGACTTCCTTTTAATCAGTGGTTCCCAGCCCTGGTCCTGGAGCCCCCTGCCCTGCACATTTTCGTGTTTCTCCTGCACCCCAACACACCTAATCCAGCTATTCAGCTCATTAACAAGCCCCTCATGACTTGAAGTGGGTGTGTTAGGAGCAGTAAATCACTTGATTGTGTAGGGCAGGAGGTACTGCAGGACCAGGGCTGGGAACTTGTGCTTTAGATAATGATGTAATATATAGGATGATAAATAATTTGACATATTTAAAGTTTAACTTGGAGTATTTAACTTTGGCGTTTTATTTTATCTAGAAAGCCAGAAAGGTCAGCATGTTCATTTTATTCTCCCTAAAAGAAAGTCCTGTATTCAACTTCCCAGCCTATTCTCAGTGGAATCCACACCTTGCAGACGCAGCTGAATCTGAAGACTGTGGACAAGCATTCAGTCTGGGAGGTGGACCAAAGCCTGGAGCCATCTGAACACACCAGGGTTGATTTACTGCAGCATGTGTAGTTTAGATAACGTAGTGCTTGGCAGCGCAGTTACTGGATGAGTGATGCAGGCTTTACTAACTTACTAGTGTTAATATACTCGGCACTTTCACAACCAAATTGGTTTCATCTGCAGTTAAAAAGATTATCAATGAGATCCATGATTTTAATCTAGTATGAATCCACAGTGTTTAGATTTTAGGATTTGACAGTAATAAATGCGGAGTGATTTTAATCCAGTATGAATCTGCAGTGTGTGTAGCTTTTACAGTCTGACAGTAATAACTGTGATTTTAATCCAGTATGAATCTGCAGTGTGTGTAGCTTTTACAGTCTGACAGTAATAACTGTGATTTTAATCCAGTATGAATCTGCAGTGTGTAGTTTATACAGTCTGACAGTAATAATTGTAGAGTGATTTTAATCCAGTATGAATCTGCAGTGTGTGTAGCTTTTACAGTCTGACAGTAATAACTGTGATTTTAATCCAGTATGAATCTGCAGTGTGTGGTTTATACAGTCTGACAGTAATAATTGTAGAGTGATTTTAATCCAGTATGAATCTGCAGTGTGTAGTTTATACAGTCTGACAGTAATAATTGTAGAGTGATTTTAATCCAGTATGAATCTGCAGTGTGTGTAGTATTTACAGTCTGATAGTCTGCTTATAGACACAGTCATGCAGAGTGTTGTTACTGTTATTGAATTGGTGCAACTCTGACATGACCCTTCAATCCAGGCTGTTCTGTGGGAACTTTGTCGCAACAAAAATTGCCAATCAAATCCCACAAATTAGATTACAGAGCATGACTTGTTAAAAATAACCCACCTCCAGTAGGGCTTAACAGCTTTTGTATGTTGTAATGGGATTGGACCCAATACCCAGGTGAGTGAGTGAATGAACAGAAGTTTAGTGCAAGTGACTGAATGACAAAATGAAAGAATGGATGCTCACAAGTTCTGAAAAGCTCATCCTCCTAAAACAAAGATGCTATACAGACTGCAGTCCTGCTTGTCTTTGTCCCTGGACTTGGTCGAAGCTCCACAGTGGCTCAAACTAATCCTGCGGAGTTTAGAACAAGTACAGGGTCTATGACACTACGACAATACAGCCTTTTTACTGAGATAAAGTGTTATTGCCAGTCATTCTGGGGTGTTGTTTTTCATTAGTGAGAGTAAACAATACGGCGTGTACTTTGTGTGTGCGACATGATAAACATTCAGCACATCAATCATGTCAGTAATTTGCTACTGGTCATATCAAAGAGAGAGTGTTAAAGAAGAACAAAGATTAAGCCTATTTCTAGACTGTATTACTCAGATTATGGTAATTCCCCACAGAAAACCCTGTCTGGGTCAGGACTCTCCCGAAAAATACAGCTAAAATCAATCATCACTCATTAGTATTCGGTCCACACCTACCCTGCATAAATGCGGTTTCAGTTTAAGGAAACTAGTGGAGGGAGAAGTTTGCCTGGGGCCATTTGAGTTGCTGTAACTTCATCTATTTATATAACTTTTGCAGCTCCTGTCTGGGAGGAGTCAGGCCTGCTTTGATCATTTGAGAAAATTCAACTGTGATATAATGTCAGTTAAATGGGTTATTTATATTAGCCAGGTTGTACAGAACATGAGAATGATTATAGAAATAAAATTTCAACTTTCTAAAGGCTGGGTTACCTATTGTTGTTATTGTTTCAGAAGAAGAAGAAGAAGCGGAATCTGGTCATATTTCAGAAAGAGAATTCTAAGAAAATTATTGGTCAGTTTTCTTGGTTTATTGGTCAAACATCTTTATACATGATGACAGACACAGAACAGAGGAGAATACTGCTGAGAGGCAGTGTATGGACACGTGGTCTCACTGCATGTGCGTGTAAATGTTAAGAGAACAGGAGGGACAATATTATCTCTGCGGGCTGCAGTTTCACAAAACCTGCAGGACCACAAAGACCACCTTAACAGTGGCAGAGTGACCTTCACTATCAGGGTAACAGTGGAAAAGTCGTTCAGAGTGGTTTGGGGTCAAATCCCCCGAACTGTTCACAGTGGTGGTGATAGGAACCAGACGTTTAAAGTCTCACGCAAGTTATCATATAAAACAAGTATGAACATGTTGCCTAAAGCTAGAGACACGAGTGCGTTTAATGCATTTACATAAAATTCAGCTGTTTTATTTGATTTTGGTTAGTACTTATTTGACTGCTATTTTTTATTATTACCATTATTCTTTTATTAATTTTATTATCATTATTATTTTATTTAATCTATTTTATTCAGTTATTTGATTTCAATAATTATTACTCAATATTATCTGTACATTCTGATTTGATAGTTATACTAGGTTATTTGCTTAAACTTTATTTTGTCTTTTTACTGATTTGATGTGTTCATATGTTTTATCTTTTTATTTTTATTTATGACTTTTTTCAATCCCATGTTCTTTGTTTTAACGCTCAGCTATACTGTAAATGAGGATCAGACTCAATGTCTTCCAACTTTAAATAAAGGATAAGTGATTGATTTGTTGATTGATTGGTTGATTGACTGGTTGATACAAGGTGTTGTGAGGCAAAACAGTACCCAAAAAACGTATTTTTTAACATTTATCACTATTTTACCATCATCAACATTACATATAAGACCAGAGTAGGTTCACTGGTGGTTTTGGATAGTAAATAAAATGTCTATATTTGTGTTGTAGTCATGGTGACTCCTGGTTCCTATCACTACCAGTGTAAAGAAAAGAGTCAGCAAGTTTCTCTACAATTAACCATTTCACATCAAACCACTCTGACTTTTTTGCATCTCAATGACTGAATTATACAGAAATTTTGAGAAACAGTGGATGTTCTTTAGAAGTTCCTTGACTGGCTGGATGCTTTAGTGTTAGGTGAGAGGGGCAGCATGTTAGACGCAGGTTGTAACTAAACTCTGCAGGAAAATGGAAGGAGGATCAGTGGGCGATGTGACAATACAATTTCATTATCACAATAAATTACTTCACAATAAGCTTTTCAGAGCATATCGCAGTACCTCCACTGACTCACTGCATGTTACATTAAGAAGAGTTTACAATGAAGCTTCCGAGTGGTCTTACTGTGCGAAGTTTCACCCTAGTGTCGCAAAATGATTGGCGTAAATCTCGACGACGCCACATCTTGGAACACATATTGGGCTTTTATTAAGCTTTTGTTCTTTGTTCAGTCTGAATTCGACACTTCTGAATGGTTTATTCACTGTGCATTAAGCTTTATTCATTATAACCTGTAAGGACTGCAGTCTGAAAATTACTAATAGTTGCATTATCAACTGTGATAATGTACAATAAACACGACAACCTTGTTATGCAAATTACTGAAAATGAATTAATCATAAATTAACATCTTATCAGTGTATGATTGGCATCATTTCCAATAGGTTCCAGATAGCATCAAGTCATTTGTGGAGTTTATTAGTTAAGAGCTAGTAAAAGTTAATAAGTCACTAATACTTCAAAATGTGTTCCATGTACAAAACTATCCAAATACAGTTTTAATAACTAAATTAGAGGCTAAAAAGCAATTTGCATTCTATATTCTAAAGTAAAAAAATATTATATTTTTTAATATTAATCAGATTTCTTTGCTTTTTGGTAGACATGCAAGCTAGGAAGTTCGTTTCAACCCATTTTAACAACCGAATGTAGATAAATAATGAGTGAATGTCATGCAGATTGACATACTTAAGAAGCTTCAGTGCTTTTAAGCCTCTAATTAGTGATGACAACTCCATTTTAAAACATGGGACAGATTTTTTAACATTATTAGTAACTTATGAAACTCTTTATTACGTGTAACCTAATAAACTCCAGACGTCACTTGACTCTGTCTTGCACCTGTTGGAAACGTTGCCAATCACACTAATATAATGTGAATTCAGGCTCATGACTGCTCAACAGTTCGCATAACAAGGTCTTAACAAAAAGTTAATTGTGCATTATTTCATGATTACGTAAGTTTTACATAACAGACCTCCTATTATGTACTAACGTTGTAATGCCTACATCTTTGAGCACGTGTCAGGCTCCAGTCCTCGCGGGCCAAAATACTGCAGACTTCAGCTCACTGCCTCATTAAACACACCTCATTCAGCTCATCTGCTAATTAGTAAGGCCTCATGCATTAGATGAGGTTAAAGGTTAATATCTGCAGTATTTTGGCCCAGAAGGTTCCCAAAGTACAGTGAATAAACCATTAAAAGTCTCTAACTGAACAAAAAACAAGACCTTAATAAACCTTAAGACAGACCTTCAAATAAAGTGATACTCCATCTCCCTCTCCTTCCATATCTCTGGCATGCTAAGACAGATATACTGATAATTACGCCTGTTCTCAGGAAGGTACTGCAAGCATGAGTTTCCTCATAAGGAAGGTTCTAATACTGTCATGCTTTTAATAAGATGGGTCCCGGTTCATAGGCTGGTCTGCAAGTACTGTCCCAAATTTAGTGTCCATCCTCCAAATCCCAGACCACCACAAGAAAAGACCCCAAACTGGTCCCAGATCAGCGTGAGGATTTCCTAAACCTTGCAGCTAGTCGTCCACAGTGACATTGCGGAAAAGGTAGGCCATGGACTCTCCGTTGTGGATGCGGCGGATTGCCTCGGCTAGAATCATACTGACGTCCACCGTCTTGATTTTAGGACACTGTAGCTTCTGGACCTCATGTGGGACGGTGTTGGTCACAACCACCTGAGGGACACAACCAAGACAATCATGAGAAAATGTGAGAAGAAGCTAACAGAAGTAGAATATACAGCTTACAATAAATTAAAAATAAGCAGTTAATATCGACCAGCAAAACTAACCCATTAACCCCTTAAAGTCAGTGATGGTGATAAAGCACATTGTTATTAAAATATTAAGTATTTCTCACTCATAAGCCAAAAATTTCTGCCAAAACTGCATGCTGTGTTCATTATTAGAACAGGTAATATTATACATGTCCAAGAACTTGTTTTGCAGATGTTCTAGTCCAGTGGTCAGCAACCCAAATGTTAAGAAGAGCTATTCTGTCCTTCTAACAAAAATCTAACCACAACATTTTATGTCCATTTTACCATCTTGGCTGTAAATATGTCTCAGTATGTGCTAATGTACTAATATAGGCTAACAAATATAAACGAAAAAGCAGCCTTTTTACCTTTTCAACCAAGTTTTAGCTCAGCTATAGCCGCTTTTCTCGCATCTCCAGCTGGAAACTTTTTCTCAAAAGTAGAACAGTTTCTTGTAAAATGTCTCTTAACGTTCGATTTTTTACGAGGCTGAAGTCAGCTTCTCATTCACTGGCTTCTTGTTCAAATTTTCCGTTCCACCTTAAATGATGCCTGAGCTGCCAGAATGTAACTGCTGCCCTATTTAAGGTGGAACAGAAAAATTTGAATGAGAAGCTGACTGAAGCTTCATGACTTTAGTATCTGACAGTTTCTTGTTGCAGATTAAACATATCTGCAAACCAGCTGGAGTGACTATAAATGCAAATAAGTCCAATCGTCTCCAAATTATCATTGTTTGTCTTAAATCTCTCTCTTTGCCTTTTCATTACTAGCTAGACGAGATGTCTGCGTTGCTATGGTGACCAGCAGTCTGCGCACCACCCTTCAGGGTTAAGGGGGGTGAATTAGCATTTCTACATTAACTCCAGCGTTTAAAACCAGTTATTTTTATAACTGTGTTAGAATGATCAGCAGAGCTTTATTTTACTGTAAAGGAGGAGTATTTTACTTTTACCTACAATTCTAATTCTGCTGTGGAGCCGCAACGGGACAGTAAAACAGCCGCATGAAAATCATGAACTTCTGTGGCCAATCCCAATTTCGTGCCAGCCAAATAGGTCAATGGACCAAACTGGCTGATTTTTATTAGATTTATTATTGCATAAAACATACAAGCACGTTTCGAGTACTTTCTATCAGCCAATCACAATCTGACTAGCATTCGCTCATTAATGGTCCACCCCTCCCTTCACCTCCTCCCCTCCTCACCGCTCACACAGCATAAAGGTTAAAGAAACACTGACACGGTCAGTAAGGAATGAAAGCTAGAGGGTTGTGGGTAGCACAACTCATTTGCATGATGCAAACAAGTACCTGCTAGAGCAACAACTTTTGAATAATGGCAACAACCCTAAACAACCCAGTAAAATTATTCTACAGTGGCTTTGAGAGTATCTAGCAATATGTGCAGTAGGTTTGCACTGCAGTGCAATATATTCTCATCCACAGCACCTCAAAACATAATAGATCTGTTGTGACTCTGGACTTTTTTTATCCAGCAAATGTATCACATTGTGCTGTTTCTAAGGTATTATATTTCCATGCTTTCTGTAAACAAACTGTTCCCCCATAACATGGTGCAGCATCCAGCCGTTAAAGGAAAATTATTTTTCCATTTATGCAAATTGCTGCACTGCAGTTGTACAAAGTATGGTTAAATGACTGTTACTGTAGCTCTCATGCAGGGTGTTGTGAGGCAAAATAGTCCTTTTTTTCCAGAATTAACACTCACCACCATTACTACTATTGCATAACATATAAACTCAGAAGACTCGTGTAGGTTCACTGGTGGTTTTGGATAGTAAATAAAATGGCAAAATTTGTTAGTGACCCCTGGTTCTTATCACCACCACTATAAAGAAATCTGGACCATTTCACACCAAACCACTCTGAATGATTGTTTAAATCTTAAAGACTGAAATATGCTGAAATTTTTAAAAATGGGTGGAATTGCCCTTTATTGTTGTGTTTCAAAGACATCCTAAACCTCTTACTGAATTACAGTGCAGTTTCTCACTGGACCTCTCTCTCTCTCTCTCTCTCTCTCTCTCTCTCTCTCTCTCTCTCTCTCTCTCTCTCTCTCACCTCATCTATGGCGGACTCCTCTATGAGACGAGGAGCGTCTGCAGACAGAAGCCCATGAGTGGCCATGATGTAGATTTTATATGCTCCTCTCTCCTTCAGGATCTCCGCCGCTGCTACGAAGTCTGCCACATCATCAATGATGTCATCCTAAATAAAAAATAAAGAAGAGAAAAAACACAAAAACAAATGTTTTCTGCAGGAATGTAAAAAAAACAGCCCCTGGCGCTCCAGTTAGGTCCGTAACTAAGTTGAAACATCTGATACAGTTCAGAATTTCAGTACTGAATAATACAGTCAGGCGGCTATGACTCAAAAAAGGGATCTTTCTGTTTTGTTTCTGCTCTGTTATCCCTCCTCCATGTGGAATTTTCTTTCATATTTGACTGTAATGCATTTTTTTTATTTTGTCTGTTATAGTTTTGTAAAGCGACTCTGAGTTCATGTATTATTATTATTATTATATAATAAAAAGTATTATTATTATTATTATTATTATTATTATTATTATCATATTACTAAAAAGACTGAGTGAGGGAAATAAGGAAGGGAAGACTTGCATGCGTGGGGAAAGCACTATCTAGTACTACACACTCCCTCTAGTGGTGAAACACTATAACTACACAAACACTAAAAAATATTCTAATAAAAATTACTGCAATATTCTGTGAAACATGCTTAAGCCATTAATGTCCATATCTGACACGCTGAGTTTCCATTGGTCCAGATGTTCTACAAGCCTGAGCACAAATCTGAAGAAAAACTTCATATCAATCAAATCTTATGGTTAAAAAGAAAGCTTTTATCACTGAATTTATTATATTAAATTTTGTATTTTGGTCTAGCAGGTGTAAGGTGTAACAATTACATGTGATCAAAAAAATACAAATAAATGACAGCATGTTCTTCAGGTTTATTCAGCTTCATTTACCAGCATTCAAAAGTTTCCGATCAATGATTTCAATAATATTAAACAAATCTGGTTGTAGATAAACAAATAAAATGATTCTAATATGTTCGTTCTTAGGTTTCAACTCATAGGTAGAACACTGGGAAGCTTTAAATAACATGTTAAATAATAATAATAATAATAATAATAATAATAATAATAATAATGCATCTTTATTTCTATATAACTTTTTTATTTTAGTCACAAACTGTATTATAATCAATTTTCTTGTTCAAAGAATACTTGAAATATTGAATAAATCATCTACAGTGCCATTTGGTGATTATTTTAAAATATTTGAATTCACACTGTCTAAGCTATTACTGCTTATAAAACAACATTACTAATAAGGCAAATGATACCAAACTTTTATCTGCTGGTGTAACTGTACAAAATCAGCAATCAGAACAAATTCTGTGTTTTTTGTCTACATTATATTAAATTTAGCTGTTGAACATAAAAGAGTTCAAATAAACCATAAATATTAAATCTTTCTAATAATGATCGACTAATTAGTCTATTTCTCTTCTGTTCAAACCAAGTGAACTTCACTTACGATAATGATGGCGATTCTGCCCCCGACATCTCCGACTACTGTGATGGGCGGTTTCTCTTTGGCCATCATCACTGTTCAGGAAACAGGAGTGAATATTATATTTCATATTTCAGTGGCAGATAAGAGGTTAAAAAGCCTTGATCGTAAAGTTCAGTCACACACACTCAGTACTGCTCAACTCCTTACAGTTTTAAAGAAAATTTAAGGCTACGTTCACATTAACAGGACGTGTGGCACAGATCCGAGTTTTTGCCCTAATGTGACTCAGATCTGATTTTTGAGCTCTGTGGACACGCAAATCTGATCTGTTCAAATCTGACCTGAGCCACTTTCATATGTGGTCCTAGATCGGATACGTATCAGATTTGTGGCCAGGCGACCTTAATGTGAAAGTTCAGTTTGGAATTCACGTTTTTTTTTTCCACTGCGTGTGCGCCATCATTCAGCGTTACCATGGCAGCAGCGCTGAACAGACGTTAAAGCCTGTAAACGGTGGAAAAGCAACACATCTCACCTTTTTGCCTTCGTCTCGCTCTAATAATGAACAGCTGAGAGCTGATCAGAGTTAACTACCTTAGCAGCAAAGACTCGTACCACTCGTTAGTTTGTTTGCTGATGATGAACATGATGCACGTGATTCATTCATGTGACGTTACTGAGTAGGATGTGCTCATGCGGGTCATGTCAGGACGCCCGTTCGTTCACATTAATGACAGATTTGACAGAGATTTAAATCACTTACCTAAACAATTGTGAACCGTCAAGTCAGAGAGATCGGATTTGAGCAATGAGGCTTGTAATGTGAACGTAGCCTAATGTTTCAAAGAGTGAAATTCCACAATACGGTGTTTATAATGACCCTCCGAGCCAATGTTCACTACCATTTGACCTGTGTACACCAGGGCTGCACCATATGCTACCATGACCTTACACAATATTTGCAATACTGATACTGAACAAGGCGGCGATACTCTAATCAATCTCAGTGCTTTTTACTGTGTGCTGTGAGCATCCCGGTAAGTCATAGCTCCAGATGAGTTTTGTTTTTAAGGTGAATTGAAGGGGAATTCCGCCAACTTTTCAAAATTCCTGCATAATTCAGCCATTAAAAGGTAAATCAGAGCTGTTCACAGTGGTGGTGATAGGAACCAGGGGCTAGATTCATAAAAGTGTCTTAAGAAAGAAAATCTTCTTAAATGTGTTTTTCTTAACTTCATTCTTAAGAAATTAATATATATATATATATATATATATATATATATATATATATATATATATATATATATATATATATATATATATATGTAATTTCTCAAGAATAATTTTAAGAACAAGTAGTATCCTTGAAAACATTATGTTCTTATCAAACATACTGCATCTGTTCTCCTGCCCCTCCTCATGTCTCACTTACAGCCAGGACCCAACAATTTTCATATTTTTTAAGGAGGATTTTTCCCTGTTGGCTGTTTCTTCCACCATCACCTTTAGTTCTTGTTTGCTAATTTTTTTTTAAACACTTGGTTTGATGTTTTTCCTCCATTTTGCTCCTCTGAGTGCGTTAAACTAAATAATGGAAATACCAGTTAATACAAATTCAAAATGTATTTTGTGTTGTCTATGGTAAACTGTAAAATGCAATGTGGGCTACATAAGAAAACTATCTTAAAATCTTAAGAAAATAATTAAGATTGTCTTAAAAGAGTCTTTGAGAACTTGTTGTTTCGAGAACTGCACTTAAGAACATTCTCACGAACATCTTCGTGTTTGTCTTAAGAACTTTTGCAAGTGAAGAAAGTTTTGTGAATCCGGCCCCAAACGTCTAAAGATCTTAATGCCTCTAAAATCTCTCCGAAGATTCTTATATGCCAGAGAGAGTGTTTTATGATTGATTTGTGATAAAATAATTGGCCTAAAACATTTTTTACATTGTTTAAATCCATGTAACAGTCTCTAATAGTATGATAGTAAATGGCTGTATTCAGAGTGGTTCCCATCACCACCACTGTAAAGAAATCTGAGCCTGTAAGTTCCTCTACGATTAGCCATTTCACATCAAACCACTCTGAATGACTCATCTCAAAGATTGAATTATGCAATTTAAAAAAAAATAGTAATACAGATAGTACATAATCTATAAAAAGTCAAATTATCGGCTGACCAATGCATTCAATATACTGCAAGGCCTATCGCATTTGAAATATGCAGCAATACAATTACAATACTAGTATTTTGTCCATATTGTGCAGCCCTGCTGGACACTGTGCGGACTGATGTTCTACCATCCAATAGGCAGAGTACTGGTGGATTACAGTTGCAGTAAAGAGGTGAGCGAATGAGTGCATGACTGTGGGCTGCAGTTAATACATCAATCACCCCAAATAACATGAGAAGAAACCTAATCAAGCCATGCCAAAGAAAGATATACAACAAAAAGATCAACATCTGCATGCTTTCGAATTCAAGTCCTGGGTTAGGATCAGCAATCAATCGTGTCAGAATGTTAACTAAGGCCCCGTCCACAAGTATCTGGACATTTTTGAAAACATAAAGCATACAAAGTATCTTCCCTCCCCTTCCCAACCACACAAAACAATGCATTGTGGGTAGGCAAAATGCCTGCCTGATGAGGACTTTGTGGACATTTCAGAGACGGTGGCGTAACTGTGGCCATGTAAACAGATAAACGGCTGCAGACGATAAATCTGGTTGCAGATAAATGTTTGATATGATTCTAATATGTTCATTCTGTGCAACCTCTTAGGTTTCAAATAATTAGCAGAACACTAGGAAGCTTTAAAGGTGCCTTTTGGTGATTATTTTGAAATTTCTGAATTCACACTGTCAAAGCTAGTACTGCTGGTAAAACAACATTATTAATAAGACAAATGATACCAAACTTTTGTCTGTGAGTATAACTGTACAAAATCACAATCAGAAAAAAATCTGTGGCTTTTTTACGTGGTTATAATAAATTTGGTTGTTGAACACAAAAGTGTTAAAATAAACCAATGAAATATCCATTTAAACAGCACCACAGCAGGAAGCGGTGGATTGTTCCACTTTTTAAGCTTTTATTTTCTAACAGACCTTTGAATCTGTGTGAGATGACGAATTATTGACGACTGCTGGTCTTCATGAAACTGAACAAGCCCACTGTTTGCAACACGTCGCCGTCTCTTTTGTTAAAAAAATCCCAGCTTCAGCTTTATGCTCTACACCGATCAGGCATAACATTATGACCACCTCCTTGTTTCTATGCTCATTGTCCATTTTATCAGCTCCACTTACTATATAGGTGCACTTTGTAGTTCTACAATTACAGACTGTAGTCCATCTGTTTCTCTGCATACTTTGTTAGCCCCCTTTTACTCTGTTCTTCAGTGGTCAGGACCCCATGGACCCTCACAGAGCAGGTACTATTTGGGTGGTGGATCATTCTCAGCACTGTAGTAACATTGATGTGGTGGTGGTGTGTTAGTGTGTGTTGCGCTGGTCTGAGTGGATCAGACACAGCTGATGGACGTATAATTTGCCCAATTCTTAAGGTGTGTGACATGAAATTTTACGAGATATTATTACCCCCCTTTTAAAATACAAAAGACTATGATACACGTGGACGAGGCCTCGGTCAACCAAACGTTTAAACAAAGAAAAATCATACAACAAAAGTGAGTACAACAGCTTGCATGTATGACTCATTTCAGGAAGAGCAACACAGCTGGTCTAGGATCAGTCCTTCATTCCGTCATTTGTATAACTGAACAGTGGGAAGCTGATACCAGTACTGGACACATACAGGCCACTTTTAGAAAACACCAAATCAAAGAAGCTGCACACACGATGATTTCATAAAATCATGCTTGAAAACTGCAAAACCACAGCCTGAACTTATGATTAGGAAAGTTCATCATATCACTACAGCACCATTATTTTCCCATTAACAAAGAGGGCTATTAGAAAACAGCCGCAGGAGTTCAGCAGCAGGAAAATGCAGAAGCACAGGATGCGCAGCTTTGTGTTGTGTCTCTCTGCAGCTGTGCTCCAAAACAGCCTTGCAATATTAAACACTCTGCATTTGTAATATCTGTTTATAGAAATAAGGCTTTCATTCTCACACACTGTAAAAAATATGAGGGATAAACATCTAATAACATCCAGTTTCATATGAGGGGTTTCTAAAATAGGCGTATACTCCACTCGGCCCACCTGATTACACTAACGAGCTCCTCTGATGAGGAAACTAATTAGAGAAGGCTAGTGCCAACAAGCAATGGAAGCTTATGTACACTGATTAGCATTATGCAAATTACACCTACCTAGCTGTTGAAGCTGCACTACATAAGTTTTGAGGATCTGGAGACCTTTCTGCTGAAAATGTTCATCCACTCGGGGGAACGGGTCCGACGCACAACCCACGTTACAAAATGTTCTTCCACGCGTTGTGTGCAATTATACATTTCCACCAGAGAGGGCTCCAAATCCCCACAACCTACACAGTGTAGCTTTAAGTAATCTCTAAAAGACTTGCTTATGTGATTTCTGATCAGGGTTAGATAGTAACGGAACACGACACGGCATTACATAATCAGGATACCAAAAAAGTAACTGTAATCCATTAAAAATTACAGTGATAAGATTACAAGTACATTATAAAAGCAGAGTGATTACCCGCAGGATTATATACAAACTCACACTTGTTGTCTTTCATCAAAATTTGTCGTTTTAATGATAAATATGTCGCATGAGTGTGCAGATTTGAAGCGTTTTTAATTTAAAACCTTAACCAGACAGGTTTGAACGAACAGTCTGAAACGTGAAAAGAGAGCGAATTAAGTCTCATGAGCAGTACAGTTAGTTTAGTTTTCACTTGTATGATGTCACTTGCAAGACACTCCCTCTTAATGCCTATTTTAATGCCTATTTAAACTATTTAAGTAGGATTTCTGTGGACTGAAACTGCTTAGAACTGATTACGGAGTGTCTAAAAATTATGATCATCAAAGTCTGAACTTGACACACCAACATGAACCCTTATGAGCCAATACGGCCTTTAAGCCGATGGAACACAAAGGATGGGCAGTTAGAGCTTTAAGAATGACCTCTATTCATGATTACTTTTGATAAGGGTTGATCTTTTGACTTTGGCATGAAAATCAAAAGATATTTAATAAACAAGTTAAATAAGGAAAAGTCTCATTTGTATATAATCGAATGTACTGGATGTACAATGTACTTCAGTCTATAAGCTTTTAGTGCAGAGTTCCAATTTATTTTCACCCTTTAAAATCACACATTTTTTCCTGGGGAGCAAAACTCGACTTCTGACCTTGAACTCAAGCAAATTGTACGGTTATACTAATTAAATATTTGTTAGTCTTGTTGGAATTATTTTACTTGTGTCTTAATTTAATTAATCAGCCGTAAAAGAAAAAGACAAGTAATCCAAAAGTAATGGAAAGTAATCAGATTATATTACTTTAATATATTAATCCTCTGGATTAGGTTACAATTACATTTTTAACAGGTAATCAGTACCTGGTAAGTACCTGGTATCAGGTAATCTGTAACAGAATGCATTTTTCAAGTAACCCCCGAACCCTGTTTCTGATACTGTATAACGAACTGTTATCTATCAACATGGACTAAAGTACATCACATAGTAGCAGCCATCTTGCAGCCTGAATTTTGTCTGTAGTGTCCCTTTAAACAATAGTATGTTATCTGAATTTCAGAAATCACAAAAACTCCTACACTGTTAGAAATAAAGGTTCTGTGCAGGTACATTTTTCAATCATCAAGGTACAAAACAACGTAAATGTTGCCTCAAAGGTGGTTTAGCTCCAATTGTGCACCTTAAATAAGTTTTCCCAGGTGAAAAGTACGTATTTGTGCCTTTTCATAACCTAACGTTTTAAAACAGAACAGGAAAATAAAAAGCCTGGAGACGAGACGGGGTGTGTGGAGTGAATACAGCTTAAAAAATATAATTTCAATGGATTATGGTACAATTACGTGCCCTTACTTGAAGGTACCATCCCAGTGACAAGAGGGGTACCGCCCCAGTGACAGTTTACTACCTTTATTTCTGAGAGTGTAGAGTGGTCTAAGTCTATTGTAAGTCTTGTTAAGTCTATACATTTCTACATTTGGGGTAGAATATGCGGGAGAAAATTTGCGCAAACTTGATTTTTCCCTGGACTATTCCTTTAAGTGTCTCTTGAATGTCAAACAGGCTTAGATTTCCCTGTCAGGCTCCAATCACTTCCTAAAAAGGTCTTCTAAAGGCCACTGCATCCCGACAGGCTCTAACGTCTCTGGCCAGTCTCCAGTCAGCCAATTCACTCAAGCCTTTGATGCGAGGAGACAAAGGCCTCCTTACAAACCCCGACGGGCCGAGCAGAACGGGATCTAGAATGTGTGTCTGAATCACACCTTTACTGCAGATCAAAAGTTTGGGGACACTTGGCCTTCTTTCGAATCCCTCATTTGAGATTTGCTGTTGCTTTTTTTTAATTATGCGAGAAAATACCTGCTAAAGTTTGTTTAGGGCTAAACCTTTAGGAACACTCAGCGTCATGTTTATAAAAGGGTCTTGCTTGGTATGAACTGGTATGAACTATTGTTAAAATAGTGGCCCAAAGTTGATTTAAATACCGAATCTGACATCACAAGAGAAGAAAATGTGTGGTCTTTTTCATTATGTCCATGTTAGCACTGTCACTAAACAGGGCTCCAGACTGTGACTGAAGTTTTGTAATTATTAATTTGTGAGATTGTTGTAAGCTTAATTTAAGATTATTTAACTTATTTCCAAACATTTTTTACTTGTTTTAGGTGATTTTATTGAGTAAATTTATCTCACTATATTGGCAGATAGTTTTGCTTGTTTTAAGAAATATACTTGAAACTAGCGTAATTATTTGCCAATACAGTTAGATCATTTTACTTGATAAAATTACTTAAAACAGGTAAAAAATTTTTGGAAATAAGCTAGATAATCTTAGAATAAGTGCATAACCATCTCCAAATATGAAATATCAGATAGATCGACTAGAATCAAGATCATTTCACTTGACAAGATATTGCCATGTATTATTTTTCTGTATTTATTACTTGTTTGTCTTTATGTATTTTAGCGTTTTTCATCTTAAAATGTAACCGATAGGCTATAGTGTCACAGTGTTTTTTTACATCTTTACTTGCCAAGTGGGCAGTTCTTATCACGCTAAGCGGTGAAACACCCCAGACTCTCAGCCGACAGCCTGAAGTCTGCCTTACGAGACGTGGCATCACAAATCAGTGCACAAATCAGAGTGAAAGCAGCTGAGAGAGAGAAAGCCCAGCAGAGAGAGCACAGCACAGGTCAGTACACATGCAGGCCACTGCAGAGCATTCGAAGACAGCCGACAAAAAAGACAGCACAGAGGAGGTGGAAATGGCTGCCGTACTTGGAAGCTCGATGCCGGGAAATGGAGCTTGGTGTCTCCCTGTATCGCCAACAAACAAAGGACTGGTTAAAAAGCACATTAAAACAGCAGATTCAGTCAGCCAGTGCACCACTCTCTGAACGAAGAGACTAGAAAGGAAGCTCTAAACGTCAAAAACTGATCTATCCATGCTCCGCACAATTATTTCATAGCCACCCTTGCAGGCTTAGACAAGCTTTACAAAAACTCCAGTTCAAAGTAAAGAACACACAACTATAGCACAAACATACATTTAGAGTGTGTACTACTGCAAAAAATAACAAAACTCCTCATTTGGAATGTTATAAGATCATCATCTTGTTTTTATACATTTATTATATGTTTATTTTATCTAGAGAATTTTTCTTATTCGATTGGCAAATCTTTATTTATATAAAGCTTGAAACTAGCAAATTGCTGCTGTAACCCCATATTTCCATTTTTGCTGTTTTTTACGTTTTTGGATATAATTTGAAAATGTTTGTTGTCCTTTACATTATGTGTAAATTTTAAGATGATTGGACAAAAAGAAACGACCCAAAACTACTTGGAAAAAAGTCTGGGTCCACTGACTTACATTAAAAGCAAAGTATGTTTTTTCCTTCTCCTGCAAAAGTTCTTGTTTTGGAGATACAAGGTTTTGCTCCAACAGCAGCGATATGTATCTGCTAATACAATAAGATACTCTCAGTATAGAAAATAGCCAAAAACAAGTAAAAAACTGAACTAAAAAAAAGTGCAATAATATTATAATATTCTTTATAATAGAGTATGAGAAATTTTAGTCATACACACTTAAAAAGATGGTTCTTCAAGGGTTCTTTAGTAAAGAAAATAGTTTTAAATAGAACCACGAATAATAAAAGAACCATTTGCATGGTGAAAGCGTTCTTCAGATTGATGGAAAATGTGCTGTAGATGGTTCTACATAGAACTATGTTGAAAAGGGTTCTATATGGCACCAAAAAGGATTCTACTATTGTTACAAGCTTGACATTATGACAGTAGCAGAGCCCTTTTTGGTTGCTACATAGGAGCCTTTTCAAAAAGGTTCTACAGGAACTCTTTCACGATGCAAAGAGCACTTTAATCATGCAAATGGTTCTTTGAGTGTTCATGGTTCTTTATAGAACCATTTTCTCTACTAAAGACCCCTGAAGAACCAACATTTTTAAGTGTATCAACTAGATTTTTAGATGATTTCACTTGCCAAACATATGTTTTTGTAGTGTAAAATACAAGTTTAAGTACATTAAAATTCTGACAATTTTGTAGGCCTGTCAAATTTTGATATGATGTGTTGGGAATAGTTTTTCGCTGTTTAATTGAGTTGGCATTAGCATTGAGGCAAATTCTATGTTGTAGTCATTTCCAATCTGCCCCATTTTCAGTTTAAAATGCAAACAAAGCAACAAGCATCTATATAATCTGAAATTAATCATTTTCAGGTCTTAACAAATACTTGAGTTATAGCTTCTCATTAGGTTGAGCAGGATTTTGCCAGCATTTTATAAAGCCTGTCCAAGCTAGCAAAAGCTGTAATGTAAGGACGGGTTTGTGGTCAGAGCCTGAATAGATCAAGTGCATATCATTTGCAGAAGGTTTGAGAGCTTCTAGTAAGTCTGTTTGCGGTGCACAGGACACATCAACACAGCAGGACACTCAAATGGCTTCAGCAGCAAGGGTTAACTAGCGCTGCAAAGAGCTCTCGTTCTTTTGGGGTTTGGCTTTAAGTTTAAATGGACAGTAAAGTTAAAGGGACTAGCAGTGAATAAACAGTCTCCATTAGGCTCATAATAACTCAGCAAGTGCAGAGGAATAATCAGCTTACTACAGTACAAAACCCCGTGGCATTAGGGATAGATTTATCCTTCACTGCTTCACTCAGACCTTCAGAAGCACAATGAATGTACAAAGCAGACAGTGTTATAAACATACGTCCATTAGGCCAATGAAATTAAACAGAGGTTGAACCTGAAACATCACACTGGATTTGCTTTAATCTTACTGTCGTTTAATGGCCTGCTGGGAACCAGATCACAGGCTGCAATCATCTCCACCTGGCCTTCGACAGAATACGTCACCCAGACTACCATGCTAACGTGGCTAAAATGAATAATCTCTACAGGCAGTCAGTTAACATGTGAAAGAGATCATAATAAAAGGTGATGCTTGATACTTATATCGGGCTAAATCCATGTACAACTATTTTATTCAAAATTATTTTATTTTTGGGCAATTTATTTAAAGCAATGGTTTGGGGAAATAATCAAATGTACACAATTTTCCACTTACTCCAGATGTAGTAACACTACAAGGTTAACATTGCTAACAAACACTATGAGTCAACAGTCACCCAAATCCTGTCTGTAAATACATCCCCAAAACGTCTCTCAACCCACATGCAGCTCTTCACTGAGGTCGTGCAGACTGTCAGTGTGGTTTAGGACTGGGTTTCTCAACCTTCGACCACTAGTGGGCCACGAAGCTCCCTGTAGTGGGCCATGAAGCACCCTGTAGTGGTCCGCGGGCCTGAACTCTAGGAAGGCAGTAATTCAGAATGGGCCGGTAACGTCACTTTAACAGCAAAAACACATAATTGGGAAAGGATTAACTTAATAATTAGGAATTGAAAAAGTAACTTTTTTCAAATTATAACCAAAAACATTGCATGTCATCAGTTTGAGAAACGCAGCCGTGGGCGCGCGATACAGACCGTCAGTGAGCCAGAGATGGAGACGTTTCTCAGGGCACTTTCGCATCCACGTTGTTTGGTTTGACATATTGAGCATACTTCACTGTGTAGCTGGACGCTGAGGGCAGCCAGTGCAGACAACAGGTGTTGTGCCGGATTTCAAAGTTGACCAACGTTTCGGAGATTTGGGTGACTATTGTCTTCTACTGTTTGTTAGTAATGTTAGCCTCGGAGCTCCAGTTTAAAACAAAAGAAGCAAAATATGGACACCGAACATGTCTTGGCTGATCAACTACATATAGGGTAAATGGACCATTGTGTAAATCTGATTTTTCCTTCTTCCTTAAATGTGGTCCATCCTGTGTGAGAACCTATTTACAGCGCTCATCCAGGAGGCTACACCACCGGCAGCAGTTCAGTGATTCTACACAGTTCAGCAGTTTTCAGCAGTGGGCTGTTTGTGTGTCTTACAGGGCAGCTCAAGGCCAGGGGGTCCGCAGGAGGGTCTGAACGCGGGAGGAGAATGACGGCCGTCGGCCATGTCTGACTCAGCACACTGTGCCTCACCGTGCATCACAGCCAAACCCAACCTCAACCTCTCAGCATATGACTGAGCCCTGAGAGAGAGAGAGAGAGAGAGAGGGAGAGAGAGAGAGAGAGAGAGAGAGCACAGAGAGAAAGAGAGGGAGAGAGAGAGAACACAGAGAGAGAGAGAGAGAGAGAGAGAGAGAGAGAGAGAGAGGAAGAGAGAGAGCACAGAGAGAGAGAGAGAGGGAGAGAGAGAGAACAGAGAGAGAGAGAGAGTACACAGAGAGAGAGAACACAGAGAGTGAGAATACAGAGAGAGAGAGAGAGAACATACAGGTAAAAAAAAGAAAGAGTGAGACAAAGAGAACGAGAGAGAAAGAGAAAGAGGGAAGAGAGAAAAAAGAAAGAATAAGAAAGAGAAAGATAGGTGAATGCATACATATATATAAAATGACTTTTAAGCTAAAAAAGTACTAAAACAAAAGAACATCAATTATAAGTTTCTAATTAAACATCATCCTCAGCTGAATTACACAACACCACACGAGAGTAAAGGTATTCATCAACTGTGCAACACCAAACACTTGCCAACCTTTGGTTTACCTCTTTGCAGCCGAGGGGGATTTTGCAACTATAATAGCGTTTCTGTAGTCTGGGATCTGTGGAGGAAACAAGAGTTTCTTAGAACAGCACAATCCCTAAAAACATTCATCTGGAGCTTTCCTACAGCCTCTCAGGCGTTTTCTGAGTAAATGATCTTGTGGCGGCTGGACTGAGGTGCGCACAAACGCAATCATAAATCCAATAATCTGCCTTTACGCCTCGGGGCTGAAAGAGGACTGAAGGATAAATGTTACCCAAATGTGTATACCATGAAACTTTTTGTCACTTTTATTGAAACATTCACCATTTTCTGAAATAAGAGAGTTTGATAAAGTACAAAAAACATTGTTAAAAATTGTCAAAACATACTGTTCACTCTCTAGTCCACAAAGACACTAAGCTGCTAAACAGCCTGGTTTTGTGATGTCATATATATCTATATATATATACACACACACACACACACACACACACACACACACACATATATATATATATATATATATATATATATATATATATATATATATATATATATACCCCAATATATATACACATATCTGTCTATTCAGCCTATAGTAGTTTAGCCCCGCCCCCTCATGTTGTTATAAAGTTATAAGGAGTGTAAGTCTGGACTGCCTTTTGAATGAGCCCAAAAAAACGGTTTAATTCTAAAAGAGAGGCTGAAATACCTCCCTATGTGGAAAAGCTGGAAATTTTCATGTAAGAATGGGTACAAAATCACACACAAATATCTAAATGTAGGCCGCAGGGAGAAACTAAAAAACATGGAAAATGTGCCAGCAGTGCCCACTGTTAACTGGACAAAATCATTTATTATGAGCAATTTTAGCAGATTTACAGAATAACCCTCTTTAACTCCGGTGGGAAACGGCCAGTAGCCACGTTTACATGTAGCCTAATAAATAGCTCAATTGGAACAGAATACATCCATGTATACACCTCAGTCGGAATAAACTAGTCCGATTGAGGCCATTTGGAATACAATTTCTATCCGATTGAATGAAGTGGGTAATCCTGTAAATAATCTGTTAAATAGAAGAATAAAAGCCATGTAAACACCTGTATCTGATTACATTTCCAATCAGAAAGTTTAAGTATGTTCTGGGCATGTGCGTCGCATCATAGCAAAAGTTTATAACATTCAGCATCGCGGGAGCAGAAACTGGTCTGCAGAGGAAACAAAGTTTATGCTCTGATCTTTAAAAGACAACAGTGGGACGGGCGTCCAGCTTATGTGTCTCAGAACATGATGTCTTCCTCTCGCCCTTCTTTAATAAGTACATGTGAAGTATGCTTTCCTGAGTCTGACATCATTTTAAAGTGATCACAAGCACTGCTCACTGCTGCTTGACTCACTCTGACTGGACTCGCGTGATGCTGGTTGTCATGGTAACGTTTACACTAAGTGGTACTTCACACGTGCGTAATTTTGGATCAGATTAATTGCAGTCTGCATGTAAATGGAGATTTTGCATCAGATTGTTGAGTAGAGTGAACATATAAACACCTCAGTCTTAATCTATAATCGGAATGTGTTCAATCCGATTAGCGAAAATCTTTGCCTGTAAACACAGCCAGTGTTTGTGTAACAGTGCTCTACCTCCTCCTGTATGTACTGCAGCAGAAAGGGTGAAGCTCGCAGATTGTCCACGGGGAAGCTGAAGAAGCCCTGGATCTCTTTCTGATGCAGATCCATAGTGATAATGTGGGTCAGGCCTAAAAGGGGAAGACAGAAACAAACGGGGGTCACAAACTTGCTGTAAAAATGTACTGATCACTGTTAACGGGAGATTTCACCAGTTTTTTCACATGTTCTACATAAACCAATGTTTGGAAACAAAGATGTAAACAAAGTAATTCAGAGTGGTTTAATGCAAAATGTTTCATTGTAGAGAAACTTACAGAGTTCCACAGGGTTGGTGGTAGGAACCAGATGTCTGTGTGTGTGCTGGGGACATATCAACCCTGGTTCCACTACCATTGTAAAGAAATCTGGGTTCTCTTTAATAAACAATTTCGCATCAAACCACTCTGAGTGACCATGTTTACGTCTCAAATACTGAATTATGCAGAAATTTTGAAAGATTGCTGGAATACCGCTTTAATTACACTTATGAAACGACAGAACATCGTAAAGATGTTTATTCATGAGACATTTTGTGAGGTTCTGAGAGACAGGACTGTTGATCTGACTGCAGGACCACTGAGTGTGTCTTTTTTGGCCTTGCAGTGCTCCAGCTGCTAACAGGTTATATGTTTTATAGGTTAACACGTCAATAGGTTTTGGCAGTCTCCATGTACGTTACACCTGGTTCAGGGCTCCAAATGTGTACTGCTTGCGGATTTATTACAAATTTCAATCATAACCCTAAAGGCTTATATTTACATTCCAATAAAATCCTAAAACGTTTTGCATACGCTACAGTTAAATGGCTAACATGCTCAGGCTAATATCTGCTGCAGCTTCTCCCCTGCTGAGAAAGGACAAACCTAACGGTTTGCTTTCTAATTGGATTCAGCTCAATGTTTTCAAATAGCAACCACTAGTTTTCTGTAGAACACCTTCAGATCCCATTAAGAGACCAACACATGTATTTAGAATCAGGTATTAGTCACCTGTTAAGCCATTAGGATCCTTTACGTTGTGAAACCAACCCAACAGGAACACTTAACAGGTTTTTTCAGCAGGGTCCTTAATTTGCCAGAGCTTTTCAGCAGGGGACGTACAGCCAATGTGTCAGAAAGAACAGTTGGACTGTGTGTGTGTGTGTGTGTGTGTGTGTGTGTGCGTCCACACTCCATACGGACGTTAGCATGCTAAATATGATTATGCATTTCCTACCAGCTTTAGCCAGCATGGAGGCCAGCAGCTTGCAGACAATGGAGCCCCTTTTCCTCATCTTGCACTGTTTGCTGTAGGGAAAGTACGGAATGACCCCAATGATGTTCTTAGCGCAGGACGTCTTTAGCGCGTACGCCATCACCAGCAGCTCCATTATCGCTGTGTTTACGTCTCTGGGAGGAGAAAGATCAGGAAATGGAATATGTTAGACAAGGAATATCCAACACCTTCAACATTTAATCATAATAAATGAGTAATAATACAAGTAACGATATGTTTTAGCCGATACCGAAGCAATTTTTGTGTTTACACAGAAAAAACAGCCACATGGTTTAGATACAATATGCCAGTCTGCTAATTAATACTACAGTAAAATTATTATATTTTAATATGAGCATTGACTGATATGTTTCCTGTATGTTTTTTTTTAAATGACCATTTTATTGTGCATTTATTATTAATTATGATCCAGTTTGATGATTTGGCTACAAGTGTAATATTCTCCACTGAAATCACTTGTGCGTAGTGGTGTAACATCTAATCTTTTTGGTTTTTTTGGAGTACTTGCATCGAGTGAGAGTTTTACACTTTTATGAACACACAATGAGTGTGCTTACACGCACTCAATACATCCAATCATAATCGGATTTCTGAAGTTATCCGATTATTTAAACAGTAATATAAACACCATACTCTGATCTATTAAGATTAAGAAATTCGATAAAGAATAATCAGACTTCTCAGTGCATGTGAACTCTTACTCTGATTTCTTTCGGCTTTCTCAGTCTGTACCTTTGCGGAACAGACCGCTGTACCAGAAATGAGTGAGCAGCATTGCTGCAAGATCCTTTGGAGTGACACTGAAACCAACCATTTCAATGAAATGGGGGATTTAACTATCCTTCATCTTCTAGATGACGTATGTTCATATTTTAGGTAAAGTGGCGCAATGTTTTTTAAAAAAAAAGCCGCAGCATGAAGTTTGAGTTTTATGTTACGTCACGTCTTCTTCTGTGAGTTTATTGGCTGGTTGCAAAGCAGAAATCCTTTGCTGCCTGACTCATGTAGACCCAGAGTTTCCCCATTATCTGATTACTCAAGTGCATGTAAACACATTGACAAAATATTAAGTACATGTAAATGCACTCAGTGATTTCATTTTGCTCTAACGTTTCTCTTTTGTCTCTATTTTCAATGTGCTGCTTCTACTTACGCCAGTTTTAAACCTCATTCAATGCAGCTGGCGAAACAGATCGTTTCCACAATAGTTTCACTTTTAAACAGTCATGACTTGCAATTAAAAAAGCATGGTGGGAGTGTATTTAGTGCCACAAAGTAGACTCAAAGTATCTTGTTCACATTTTATGTGCCAATGTTCAGATGATGGTTCAAACACAGTGGAACCACCCGTGCTACAGATATTACAAGTTTTCATATTTTACTGTAAAATAGCTCCACACAGCAGACAAATTATGAAAACATGCCTCGCTGCTGAAGGTTGTGGATGACCCCAGGTTATGTAACCTCTACTACAGTGGTGCAAGTAGAACACATAGCACAAGAAATTAAGTATGGGAACTGGATCATGCTTAATATAACCAACGCCTGATCCATTAAAACAAGCCTGGACTGGATTGGATCCTTAATAAAATAAGAATAAATAGAAATTAAGCACTAAATTATGAGGAAAATGCCATATTTAAGTTCCTTGCAGAGGATGTATTAACTTATTTTCACCTAGAAAGTCAATAAAACACTGACCACTGACATTTATGTCTGCATACTTATCAAATTAAATTATCATTCTTTTGGGTACTTATTTATTCAATCATTTAGCTTTTCTTTATCAGGTATGTTTCTTATGTCTTAAACAGACACAGTTGTAGTGTAGGCACAGACACTACAGTATAAAACCCAAAGCAAACTTTAAGCACCTGCTATTTAAGTCTGTTTACCAGCCTCCTGCATGTCACCTTCAAGCCTCCCACACTTACTAAGCAAGCTTTGTTTTTATTCATTTTTACACTCTGGAATTGCTGAGGTCATGACAAACAAGTTTATCTACAGATTTAAAGATCAAATGCTTTGACCGGCCTGTTTGTTCAGAAACGTCACTGATACCGATCGATCCATTATTAGCTTATGAGCAGCGCCTGCTATCACACACAGCCATCCTGGCTTCCTGTCCCGCGTGCTGCCAAACCCAAAACAGTACAGAAGGTCAGTCCAAAACAGCCTTCCATTCACCACCTGCCAAGGACTATCAGTCTGACCTCAAACCTGCAAGCTGAACAATTCAGCTTCATTGGCTGTACACAAAACAGCTAAGAAGAACACAGTTGGTCAGAGTTGAGCTGATTTAGCTCAGAATCTCAATCCATATAAGGGCAGTGTGGACTGTGAGCATGAGACACATCTGTGGAAGCAATTTCCTGCTTTAAAATAGAACCAATTCCTCTTTTGATGAAAGGATGACACTGAATCATGTCTCATATCTTTATTCCATTTACTACTGCCATGCTAATAACAATCAAAGTTAGCTGCTGAACATTAGCTTTAGCGAACCGAGTGGTGTCCAGAGAGGTGGGTATACTACACATTACTATACTACACTATACTATACACTACAGTTCAAAAGCAGGAAATATGTTTAACAGAAAATCATCAGAAAATAACAGTAAATGTCAGTATTTTATTTGACACTTTGCCTTTATTACAGCTTCCATTCTTGTCAGGAGACTCACTTTCAGATGTTGGATGAGGGCCTGGCTCGGGAATCTCTGTTATAGTTCATTCCAAAGGTGTTCTATGAGGTTGAGGTCAGGGCTCTGTGAGGGTCAGTCAAGTTCTTCCATACCAAACTCACTCAGCCATGCCTTTATGGACCTTGCTTTGTGCACTGGGGCTCAGTCATGCTGGAACAGAAAAGGGTCTTCCCCAAACTGTTCCCACAAAGCTGGAAGCATACAATTGTCCAAAAAGTCTTGATGTGCTGAAGCATTAAGATTTCCCTTCACTGGAACTAAGGGTCCTAGGCCAACCCCTGAAAAACAACCCCACAGCGTTATCCCTCCTCCACCAAACGTTACAGTTGGCACAGTGCAGTCAGGCAGGTAATGTTCTCCTGGCATTTGCCAAACCCAGACTCGTCCATCAGACTGACAGATACAGAAATGTGATTCATCAATCCACAGAATGCATTTCGACTGCTCCAGAGTCCAGTGACGGCGTGATTTCATAAGCTGACTTGTGTCAGAAGAGGCATCTTATGCCAGTGCCATGTTTAATGTCACTGAGCTCGTCAGTTCGACCCATTCTACTGCCAGTGTTTGTCTATCGAGACTGCAAGGCTATGTGCTTAATTTTATACACCTGTTAGCAATGGCTGTGGCTGAAACACCTAAGCTCAATAATTACGAGGTGTGTCTCAATACTTTTGTCTATATAGTGTACATATACATAGTATTTGATTAGGAGCACTATCCTAATATTGGTTAGGGCATCTCTGTACTCTAAAAAATAGCCTCAATTCTTTGTGGCTTGGATTCCACAAGGTATTAGAATCATTCCTTTAACATTCTGGTCCAAGTTGACATGACTGCATCACATGATTCCTGCAGATTTTTCTGGTGCACTTTCATGCTGTGAAGCTTTCATTCTACCACATCCCAAAGGTGCTCTATTGGGTTCAGATCTAGTGACTGGGAAGGCCACTGAAGAACACTGACCTCATTGTTAGTTCATGAAACCAGTCTGAGAAAACTTTTCATTGAGAATATCTAGAGCACAGAGCTGAACCTGACGATACAGAACTCGACTCGAATGTAAATGTAATTCGTTACATATCTAACTACATTATGATTATGTAATTATATTTAAATTATTACACAATGGAACTGAACACATTGCAAAATGATAATAGAGCTCCAGACCTCTCTGGGTTAAAGCTATCATCTCTGTAATTCTCTCTCAAAATACTGCATCAGACCCACTCAGAGACTCCCGCACTAACCACAGGTCACCCCCACTATCATTACTCCATTGCCATCATAATTATATTTCATTTGACCTAAATGCTTCTAACTACAGAGTCAGAGGACATTCAGGTACTTCAGGGTGCAACGGTTAGCATTCAAAACCATATGGAAATCAAGCACAAAGTCAGAGCAGTACTAAATGCCGCAGTGTAAACGGTGCACTGACACTAGAGCTGTAATGGATTGGTAACAGCTCAGTGGTCAAACGCTACTCAAATGACCATCTCACTTTACACATGGGGCAAACACATACTTAGAATCAAACGTATGCACACAGACAAAAAAGCATACCAGAGATGCAGGAAGTGGGGGTGCTGAGGGGGCTGCAGAACCCCCTGATGTCAGGACTACTACTGATAAAAACAGTAGCAATAATAAAACTTTCTGAACCTTATGATAATTTGAGTGTAGTAAAGACCCATGTGAGCTTGTTTTATAGTGGATTTTGAATTTTTATATTTTCAAAATATGCAGTAGCTGCTTTGTTTAAGTGAACACCATATTTTCATTACAGTGAGCCAAAAACTGTCTGCTTTGGGGCGCGTCCTCAAACACATGCACACTGACGCTTCAAGAGAAAAGGCCTATGAAGAGTTACAGGCCCAAGGCCGCCCAACATTATATCGCCCACTCTGAGTGCCTTTTTAGTATTAAATCTTACTGCATGCCTGTAGGTGAGACACAATCAATTACCCACATATCATCACATATCACATATCATCAATCGGATTGGTTTCTGCTCAGTTCATTTGTATAAAGTTCGCCCAGAACGAGACAGCTGATTGAAGGTATTCAGTTATATTTATATACAGGTGGGAATCTCAAGGGGGGGTGCTATGTCAGTAAAATATCTTCTAGAAGGGACGCTATATCTCAGCTCCAAAGTGTGCAACATAGTGCGAAAGCCCTGGTTCTCAATGACTGAGAACTGGCGTGCAGACTGCAGGTCTCATAGCAACGCAGTCTCGTCTGGCTAGTAGCTAATGAAACGGCAAAGAGAGAGATTTAAGACGAACATTTGGAGACGAATGGACTTATTCGCATTTATAAGCAGCGAAGTTGGTTTCCTGGAACGTTAAACCTGCAATGAAAGACTGTCAAACACTAAATAGTTGCGAAGATGAAGTCGCTTCTCT